TTGCCACCAACACCCCACAGGGTGTCAGGTTGGGTTCTGACTCTGTCAGTGTTGATCTAGTCTACTGCATTGTTTATTTTATTTTTTTTCTTTTCCCTATTAAAAACTGTTATTTCCTGTTCCCATATTTTTGCCTGAAAGTCCCTTAATTTAAAATTTATAGCAATTCAGAAGAGTGAAGAGAGTTTACATTCTCCATTTCAGAAGAGGCTCCTGCCTTCCTTACAGACTCCTGTCTTTCCAAACCAAGACAGTGCTGCATCTCCTCTACCCTTGGTTAGGTTGTCAGAAGGTGAGAAGCTGCTGATGGAGTAATTCCACCCACAACTGTACCATCTTTATCCAGATAATACAAAGTTTAGAGGTAGCTGTTTGGGGACTGAAGTTGTAATAAATGGTGGTGTAAAAGTGCTGATGAAGCAATGGAATGTGGACTAACAAACTCATCTCATAGCCTTAATGTAAAAAAACCCCACAATTTTCAAAAGCAAGAAATAATTTTAGTTACTAAGTAAGAATTTGTACTCCAGAGGGGTTATGCAGAATTATTTGATAGTTATTGGTTACTCATTAGACTATGTGTGACAGTTCAATAGTCTGATTTTGTCTTATAGGTGTGAGGGGATTTGAGGACGTAAGAAAACTGCTTTCAGTGGACATGAAAAGTATTTGTTTAGTGGTCACACACAGTTCTCCAGAATTGTGCTTTAAGTCATCCTCTTTGAATTAGAAGCTTATGACAGCATTGTGTCTTCTGAGAAATGACACTTCAAATAAAACTGTATTAAAGTGCTTTTGAATGATAAGGACACAATGGATAGCTCCCTGCTGAAATTACCTTGAGAGAATTAATAAACCAGGCCCTACTTGTGTATAATTCTGTTTGAATAAATGTATCATTTGAAGAATGTAATTTTGTTTGAAAAACTGAAATTTTGTTTGGCTGATAGGAGTCCAGGGTACTTATTTTTCTGAAAGTCTTGTCCAGAACAACAATTAATAGAAATAAGATTTTTCTCACATAAATAAACTAACTCTAAACTATATTTTCTCATGAATAAACTGTGTTTGTCTTGCTAATTTGTAAATAAAATCAAACTGCAAGTTTGTCTCTCACTGGCATACTGACTCTTTCAGTGGAATTAATTCCCCTGGGTGTCTTTATCAGATTTGTTCATTTTATTCCTGAACACGAAGTTCAGTTCAAAACAATAAAAAGAGAGGAGGAGTTTTTCTTCTTTGGTTTTATAGTAAGTGACTGGGAAATGTTTTGTTGCCACAGGCATGTAAAGTTCTGTGGACCTTTCCAAATGAAACATTGATTGTAGCATTGCCTGTGATCTTCAAATAACTGGATGTTCCTTTCAGGCTTATTAGCTTCTGGTAGAATCCAAAATGAACTTTTTTCTCCCAAAGTTAAGGTACAATTCTGCCTCCTAAACTTTTCAAGCTGGGCAGATGAAGAGAAGTTCCAAAATCTGAGAAAAGTCTTCACTTTTACATGTTAATATATCAGGAGAGAATTTCAATAGTGACTTCAGCACAATACAATGAAAGCTTCAAAAATCATGGCTTAAAGAATCCATTCAAAAAGCAACATAGGTAAATATATGGAGACATTGGAATGTGAGACAGAGAAACTTGCTTCGACAGTGGACAACTAAAATGTAAGTAAAAATTTACAAGCAATTAGGAGATAATGCATAGAGATTTACCTATCTGCCAACATGCAAGAAATGCAGGCAGACTGAAAAATTAAAATCTTTCTAGAAGCTTTTTTATTCAAATATATTTTGTGTTCTTCCTGACTCTTTCTTCCCAGGAAGGGAATATTTTCAAGAGAATGCTCCATTTAATCATAACTAGTGCAAACTGAAAAAATGTTTACATGTGTATTTTGAATTTTATATCGACTTCTTACATAACCCCCAGGCTCAGCTTGAGATCTAGTATTGTAGACACAGATTTCAGCCGTATTGCAAATGCACAGGATCATTTATTACACAGTGAACATGGCAAGTCCTGTGGTCCCTAATGCAAAAATGGAGAAAAATAAGCAGTTTTCATGATTTGTAACCTGTCTACCCTGCAGCCTTTTTCCATTCTTGCTGGTTGTCTGTGATTAAACACAGAGTATAGCAGTAAGAGCCATCAAGTGTCTACACCAGTTTAAAGAGATTACCCTGAACTGTAAGTTTGGGTGTTGCTCAGGCATCATGACAGGAACAGATGTTTTGGGATATTGATTTGAGTGCATTCACAGCTGAGTCCAGGTAGGCTACAGAGAACAGGCACTTCATTTCTGGTAAGACAAGGTGGGAACCAGTTCCAGACAGTGCTTGGATCTCATGGCAATCTGAGATTCAATGTCAGTGATTGCAGAAATATTTTTAAATCAAAGAAAGCAGTGTGGGATAAAACCTACCAAAATCTTACTACCTAGGTGCTGACTTCTTGTTTTGACAAGCTAGATGGAAAAAAATCCTCACTGGTCCATAACCTGCATAACCACACCTGCTCTGTGTTTTGCAGATAAATGGTGGCTGGATGCTTGGGGATGGTGCTGGGAAAGGCAGTGGGATAGTTTGGGAAGAGTGGGCAGATGGGCTACTGGAGAACAGTTTGCTCTGCCCTCAAAGGAGGGCTCAGAGGAACACGATCAGAGGTGTGCCCATGGGATGGATTTTGTTTGGTGAGGTAGAAGCCCAGGTCGTCATTGCAAAGCAAAGCAAAAAAAGTGGCAGTGCAGGGGTGCAAGCTGGTCTCTGTCTCCTGGGGTCTGTGAGTGACCACTGCCTCTTTCCCCTGGGCCTGGGGATGCTGCAAAAGGAGGTTGGCACCAGCCAGTCCCTGAAACTTTTCTGTCGGTGAGGGCAGTCAGATGAGGGCCAAAGGCAGCCAGGCCTAACCACCCCTGCCAGGATTACCCTGAGCTGCCACTGGCTGGTGTGGTGGAAGTGTGCAGTAGCTGGTGGCACCGCCTGAGGTGTGCTGTAGCCACGACCTTGTCCATCCCCTGCTTTCACAGGGGTACCTTTTCAAGCCCTAACTGCCAGCATCTCCATGAGAGGAGTCCTTATCAGAGGACTTTTTGACTTTTTATAGAATTTCAATAATACTTTTTACTGCTGAATTTTGGATTTTGACATGAGTCTCTCTTGAGCGTTCCTCATTATGGGGCTAAATGTTTGGTGTTTTCTTTAATGATTATTCTCCATGCTTAGGTGTTAAGAGATACGAATAATTTTATGATAAGAATAATTTACATTTGGACAGCTCATTGTGAATGTGAAGTCTTTGCATGTGTAGAGTTAGTCTTCCTTCCAGGATGCATTCACTTCTAACATGGTGGAAGCTACTTATCTCTCTTAACTAAGTCTGCTTTAGGGAAGCAGATGGAAAATAATGTTTTGAGGGAGGGAACTTTTGGCTGATAATTCATGCATTGCAGAGTTAATATGAGCTCTGCCTTAATCACAATTTTCTTTCCAACATTTTTTATCATTTTAAAATTCATCATTTGTGAGCACAGGGCACTGCAGTACTGTAGATGTTTTGTTTTACCTTTTCTTTAAAACTGTATGTTTCTTTTCTTTTTCCATCAATTCTAACAGTCATTTCTTCCTGTGCAGCTTTACATTTATTCTGCTATTTGATGGAAATGAAGCAATTCTTATTAAAATAAAAAATGTGATTCTATCTGAACTCCCTTCTATACTTGCACTTTTTAGATGGACCTTTTTTTTTGCAATAAATGCACAGGTTTGAAAAATTTTCATTTTAGTATCTCTTTTCCAATTGATTTTTGTAGGTCTGTGGAGGCTTTCAGGTTTATTGTCCCTCATTCAACCCAAGATAACATGAATTCATATGGTTTGTCCATATTCCGTACTCTTGAAATTCTCTTACTACTTTTCTCTGGCACAGCTGAATGACTTCCTTGAATTACTGTGAGTTTAATTCCTCACTATATACTCTGGACTGCTTCAGAATGTTTTACGGCTGAAAGCCATTCTGCCTTTAAGTTTTGTGAGCTCTGTATTATTTTGGCAGGAACAATTCAAAATTTTCTCACAAGGGTTTCTAAATTACAGTCTGCTTTGTAGCATCCTTCCAGACTGGATAGTTGCTTCCCTACCTGGGTGGCTGACTTCCATGGAAGTGTTTGAATTTTATCTCTGATATTACGTTTTTCTGAATTCTTTGTGGTAGCATGCCATGGTTGAATCAAAGTGCTTTTCCTATCTGTGGAGCTTATTATTTATTGAAGAGAACTGGCACTGACAAGCTCAGCAATCCCCTTTGCTAGTTCAGACCTGGTTTAGGGGTTTTAAAATTCAAAACCTGTCTTTGCTGGCATGATAGCTTTATGTTGGAAACAACACTTCAGCGACTAAAAATAGTTTTTTGATCAAAATATCCTATTATTTTGGACTTACACTCCAAAAGTTGCTTTTGAAACTTAGAGATCACTAATTGCATGATTTAAAGGAGATTAGATGTTAAAGAAGAGTCTTGAGTTACCTTTTACAGCAAAATTACATGTCCATGTTTTCTACTTAACCATATACTTTTATACAAATGCATGGTTTAGAAATGAATATTTACTTCATTGCAATTTAACCAACAGAATTTTAAAGTAGTATATGCATTGAATTGAAATCATTGATACAAAATGAATTTGCTCATATCTGAGGTAATGCAACAAGATGCGGATTTTAGTTTGGATTTTTCTGAAATGACAAAAGATAAGACATTTGTTTAGTTTTTTTCCTTGAATGAAAATTATCAGAGGAATTAGCTTAGTGTGGAGGTCTGGTTGACAAAGATTTGTGTGCTTACTTATTTTTCATTCATTCTTTGGTAACTGAAAAATCTCTGGCAGTATACTACAAGCATAGCATTACTTTGGGTGTAATTGTTGGTATTTTTAACTCTTCACACTGATGTTGCACAGCACCCCATAAATGCTTCTATAATTTTCATTTTTGATGAAGTGTTCACCAGTTGCAGCTTGACCTGGGACAGTAGAACATCTTCCTAAATGTACTCCGCAGTTCTGGGCTTCGGAATGCAAAAATCATAGGGTTGATGATGGCATTGCACATGATGAGTGTCCCATTCACGTGGAAGATGGACATGTAGCAGGCACAGTAAGGGTTGTGTGGGCAAAACCTTGCTAAGAGGATGTGAAGAACGAAGGGGGCCCAACAGCAAAGGAAAACTCCAAGGAAAATAGTCAGCGTGATGGCGCCTTTCATGTTAGTTCTGTGATGGACGGTGCTGCTGGGCAGTGAGGCGATCTTTTTGGCGTGAGATCGAGCCAGGAGGAACATGTGGACGTAGAGGCAGAGTATGAAAAACATCATCAAAGGGAAGAGGATGGTGAAGGGAATGACTGTCGCTGCTTCATAGGAGAAGAGGGCGATGGCAATGCTGCTGCCGGCACAGAACGCCCAGATGATTGCCAGGATAACCAAGGCCCTCCTCAGTGTCATGATATTGTGGTACCGCAGAGCGTAGAAGATGGTGATGTACCTGTCTGCTGCAATGGCCAGCAGGCTGAAAATAGACCCCAGCAGAGACAGAATGAACATGGAATCCATGGCATCATCCAGTTTTTTCTCAAAGTCTCCGTGACGCGTCAGGTATCCCATTTTGCACAAGATGATAAAGATGTTCTCCAGAGTTTTGTACAAGCTACCTAACATGTCTGAAATGGCTAAACTGCAAATGAAGAAGTACATGGGCAAGTGTAAATTCTTATTTCTCACAACAGCAATGAGGATAAGTAGATTTTCCAGTATCCCAGCGGCAGCAACAGTGAAAAAAACTTCCTCTGGCACCACAACCTGGGTGCAGTCAGTGATATTTAATGAAAAATCGCTTATGTTTTCAAGGGATGGAGTGCTTGTCTGCCCTAGGTGTTTGATTAAGTTGGAAGGTCTCTCAGTGCTCATTCTTCTGGTCATGGAAAGAGTCTAGGTTGCTTCTTTTTCAGGTTTGGCTTTATTGTGAGGCTGACCTGTCAATCAGACCATTCTTCTTTTGATCAAGGCTCTCTCCTTCATCTGGAGCAATTTTAAGACTTAACTGAAATGTCTGGAATTTCTCCTACAATAAGACATGTAGAAACATAAATATCAGGAAGAAATTGACCACACATATGAGGCAAAAAATAGATATTTGAAATATCATCTATTGCAGCTTAAAGCACATCTGTAATCACCATAGAGAAAAAAAATTGGATTAAATAGGAGCTGTTCAAGACTTCACTAAACCTTAAAGAGAATCAAAATGTAAATTCTCTTTTAGCTTCAAAGTGATTTTAAAAAATGTGTGGAATTTTCTTTACTAATGTGCATCCCACATTTACTGAAACGAATCTTACAGACTTGAAGAGCTTGGCAATCTTTACTGGCCCAGCTGTTTGCTTTGAGAAAGCCTGGCAGTTCTCACAAGATTTTCAGCATTATTAGACACAAATAAAAATAATGCCAAGATAAACTCTTGTTCAGAACAATAACATGTTTATCTCCACACTGTTGATGGTGTAATGAAATGCCCTCAATTTAGATGTGAACCTTAGAAAATATTGATGTATTTAGAGGCATGTTAGATGTTAGTGAGAGGCTTCCTTTTAATTTAGATTGAAACTGTCTTTTGATTCCATGAAAGTATTTCAAAGATCCGAAGTACAACTTTTTCTTGTCTGTATTTTACAGCTATCTAAAACCCCAAATATTATTTCAGCATTGGGATGATGTTTTCCTTTTTCCATAATAATCCTAATCTAAACTACATCTAAGCATATAGGAATCTTTCCAAAGGAATAGACTTTTTACTCTTTAATGTACAAATTGATATGATATTAATTTAGCTTGGATATGACCCATAAACGATAAGAGAGAGTTTTTCTTCTTGTCTTCATAGCCAATTTGGGAAATACAGATGCAATTTCGGTATTTAGAACGTCCCCTTCTTTACAGATAATATTTTCACTGAAAGGGTTGTCAAGCACTGGAACGGGCTATCCAGAGAAGTGGTTGAGTCACCATCTCATGAGGAATTTAAATGAGGTATGAATGTGACCCTTAGGGACATTATTTAGTGGTGGACTTGGCAGTGCTCTGTTAATGGCTGGACTGAATGATCTTGAAGGTGTTTTCTAGCCTAAATGAGTCTAAAGTTTCATGATTCCACCTCTGTTTTTAAGTTTAAACCAGCTTTCTTTGACACTTTCATATCAGTAAATCTTGACATTTCTTTGGACATTTGTTCATAATCAGGGTTGCTGAATATTATAACACACAGTTACTGTTTCAAAGGAAGAAGTTAAAAGTTTCATTTATTCTGTATACAAACAAGGCTTGGAGCACCAGCCATCACAAATTTGATGAAACTAGAAGCATTCAGGAGAGTACCCACACATATCTGAAAACACGGGCTGAATGAACTGTATTGCACTACAGCATGTGTAGACATTCCCAAAGATAATTAGGCTGGCATCTGTCAGTATGTGATGGAAGAAGTTACTAACAAGAATAAGAAGCTTGACAATGTCTTTGTAATGATATGTCTTTCCTATTCTCACCTGGAGCTACTGTCACAGTTAAGTTTAATGATTTCTAATCTAGGACTCTGTTACCAATTTTCTCTCTTTATAGGAAGTCAGCACAGACACTTCAGACAAAACTTCATTTCAATAGGATTTAAACAGGAGAATCAGCTAGCAAACATTTAATAAATTGCCATTTTCTCAAAACTGTATTTCAAGAATGCTTCTTTGCTGATATAGTCATATTGCTGAAATAATCTACCAGAAAAACATGAAGTTTCCTTCACTGAAAAGATATAATATTATGAATGGCATGGTATATTACATCTGCTGCTTATAAGTTTACAGTAACTTTGTTTTAAGATAAGAGCAGAGAATTTATAAGGGCTTTGGTGCATTTATTTTATTTGGTGCATTATTTCAGCATGTGTACATGGCTACTGCACACTGTTCTATTAGGGTTCCATCAAAGATCTCCTTTTCTGATGCTTCAGTGTGGTGCACAGTCATATTCCAATCTCAGATATCCCAGACAGAAATATCTGTGTATTTAGTGTTTTACATGGGTCATCAGTGCTTGATATCTGCACAACAGACATTATATCGTAAGTTCCACAGTTACAAGATTGTTTTCACTGCTACTGATCTCCCAGGTAGGGTGCATTGAGTAGTTTGGTGGCTCTAAGCAGTGTAGGAACAGGCAGACTACACATGGGAGGTAAAGCTGTTGTGAACATGGTGAGTAATATCAGTGGTACCCCCAGAAAAATGACTCTGGACCCCCAGGCACCAAGAAGCCCAGGGTGAAGAAGGACCACCAGGACTCCACTGAATCCATGGGAAGTGACTGTCTTCTGCTTGATCTCTCTCTTTCCCTCCTTGCCCTTTTATATTTCTTTCTATCTCTCTACCTCACACATACTGTTAAATAAAACCCATACTATTACTTTGTCATGTGGTCTCATCTTCATCTTCACTCAGGCAGAGGCGTCTTTCAATGATTGGATCTTAACAGTGTCTTAAAAGGTAATGGGAAAAGAAGACACTTTGGAGATTGGATGCATATTTCTACTGTCTACAGAAATTAGAGCTGAGGTCCTTTCACACAAGTATAAAAGGTGAAAAAAAAAAATGCTTACACTCCTGTGTTAATACCAAAGAGAGTTTGGATGCAACAGATTTTCTCTCCCCTGTCAGTACCTTGACAGTTTGCTTTGTACTGCCCAGATGAAGGGTCCATGCCACTCACTCGCTGAAGTATCTCAGATTTATCTTTTGCAGGTACCTGCAAAGTCAACCTTTCCCAGCTAGTGCTTACATTTCAGAATTATTAAAAATAGGACATTACAATTTTAAAATAAAAAAATACCATATAGGACAATTCTGGTTTTCCTGGCAATCAACAGCTGAATTATTTGGATTTTACCTTTTTTGAGGTCATTCATGATATAGGAATAAATCTGCCTGACTGTAGCAAGAAATGTAAAACTGTCAAAAAGCAATAAATGACAATGAAAAACTTAAAATCTGAAACACATTTACATATGTAGCTATATAACAAAATAAGCAAAAAATTCAACCCATTCTTGTTTAAATTAGATCCTGGATGGAGAAATCAACAGCTCAGTAACACTGGATATTCAGAAACATTATTTATCCATCAGGATGCAGTCTCCTGATCTGGTATAATGGGCCATGAACTGATGGCAATAGTAAAGTTACAAAACATGCATATATTTGTAGTACTATCATCAATTCCTATTGGTTTGGTAGCTATCTAAAGGAAGATGAAGCAGCAAACTGGGAGAATGGAAGCCAGGACCAGAAACTATATTGAGAATATTGTACAAACTTAGAAAACAAATAAAAATCAGATTACCTGACAATGAATGGCAATCACCATGATTATGGTGTGGCTCCTTATGATGTTCTTGCTGCTTGGAAAGCTTGTGTCATGGTTTGACGCTGGCACAATGCCAGTGCCCCCATGAAAATACCTTCCAAACATTCCTCCTCCCCACAACCAACTTCCCAATACATCACAGTAAGACAAAACCTTAGACTCTCAATTCTGTTGCCATCCCTCAGATCACCAACTCTCAGTCCATCACCACCCTTTAGATAATAAATTCTCAGTTCATCAAGAGGAGAGGAGTCCTTCTTGTGCCACAGGCTTCCCCAGGAAGCACAGCTGAAACTTCGTGTATTTCCATGTCACTCGTGGCACTGCCCGGAGTACATCTGCCATTGTGACATCTTCCTTCCACGTCCAGTGCTCTCACCACTGCACATGGACCAGAGCTGCTTCTAGGGTTTTCCTTTTAAGGGTGCTTTGTCCAGTTCCAAAAACAGCACAGTCTCACTTTCGGGACACCTGTCCCCCACAAATTTCACCCCCTGGGGCTGAGGGGTACCAACACTGAACTCTCTTGGCTCCGAGCCATTGCCTCTCCCTAGATGCAGTCTCTGTGTCACAGGAAAAAACAGTTGTATCCATGGCTGTACAAGAAAAGTCCAGCCAAAGGCCACTCCATCATCTCCCGCCACCTAGAATTCTTCTCAACTTCTCTCGGACATCTTTCACTTGCACAAACCTGCATCACACTTGCCCATTTCCTGCTATTCATCCCTATCTCACTTCTCATTCAGGAGGAGGAGCAGCATTTGTAAGGTTTCCATCATCCAAGAAAAGGGTTAAAAATCTCAGTCTCTGCCTGCCCAGGACTCCCACACTGCCCTGCCAGGCACTTTCTCTCTGCAACATCCCGAGATTTTCCTGAGAGTTCTCTGCTTTTAACCCCCAGTGTTTTCAGAGGCGTACCATGTCCCCAGTGGCCACACCAGGTGCCAATATTCAAATCTGAGCACCTATTGGTTTGACCACAGCATCCCAAAAAACTCACTTCCTCTGAAACCACAACAGCCTGTTTGCACTGGTTTATAATATGCAGCTAAAAGCCAGCCCCAGTACTTCAGCTTGTGGCAAGGCTGAGAATACCCTTGAAGATGCTGGGAACTCCCAGTGCTCCAGAGCATTAGCCTTGGGCACAAACCATAATTCTCTCCTGTGTGTCTTGTGCCCACTGATAACTAAAATACAAATTTCTCTGCAGTAGAAATACAATGACTTAGCATCTGAAAGGTCTGGGAATAGTAGGTCTGGTCTTGACTTTTTTTAAAATTGGATGAAAACTTAATTCACTGAATAAATAAATAACACATTTCCCTCAATGCCAAAATACTAAATAAACGGGCCAGGTCAGCTGCAATAGAAATAAAAGTAATTTCAGCTGTGAACTATAATGAGAAGATATGGTTAAAAAATTATATACCTTAATACTATATCATTTCCCAGGGGCTTTTTTTTTTTTTGCATCTATTATTGTTTTAATAGCAAACCATACTTCCTTTTAT